GAAAAGTTAAACTTTTTTTCCCCTCGAGATAGGGTTTTTCTGTGTAGCCCTGGCTGTCCTGGAACTCACTTTGCAGACCAGGCTGGCCTTGAACTCTCGTAGATCCACCTGGCCCTGCCTCCTGAGTGCTGGGACTAAGGGTGTGTGCCACCACTGTCCATTGAAAAACTTGGAATTCTAACGATGCTTCAATAAAGACATCATTTGCATCACATTCATCTCCATCTTTCCGCAGTTCTAAGGGACAGAACAAGCTCTGAAGCCAAAATGTGCAGGCCTTGAATACCAGTTGGGCCATGACACGTGTCAACCCAAGATACCCTGGACTACAAGAAGCCCCAAGTTTCTTGTTGAAATTAAAATCCCCAAAGACCTCACCTCATGTCACCATCATACATAGGAAATATAGTCTGTGAAGGGCCTGGATTAAACCCTGTAGATGGGAAGGGCTCCATCAATTGTTATTGCTGTTCTAGTCATAAATGCCTCATTGTTAAGCTTAGGGATGGTGTTTCTCTATGCTAACACAGGCAGGGCGACACTCTCAGGGAGACAGAGATTCACAGATGGGTATTATAGTCTCTCAGGTTGGTAGGAGCAGAACGTAGATAACTGTGAGCAAGGAGATGCTCTCAAGTCTGCAGTCCAGCTATAGAAAGTCTACCAGCTACCTAAGGCCACCTAACAGTTCTGCTCATAGGTTAAACAATATGCATCCATTACTTGCGGTTCATGTGGATTAGGGATCTGAGTGTGGCTTAGCTACAGCCTGTGCCTCAGGCTGCTCAAAGACTACAACTGCAGTATTTTTGATAGGGTAGCCAAATAGACTACACCACCCATTTTTACTTCCTAGTCTGCTTTCTATCCCTAGTCACTTTTTCCTAGTTTGCTTGATAAATGACAGGAACACAAGAACTCTTCTTACAGTCTGTCTCAGGGGCCCTGCCTGCAAGAGATAGTGCCACATGCCACTAGGAATCTGACTTTAAAGAAGGGATTCAGGATTTTGCTTATTTGCTAACAAAGTGATAATAGGGTCCATCCTGGTGGCATTTCATAGCTTTTTAAGAAATTTGCTATAACTGTGTCTTCACACTCAGAAAGTTGTATTAGTGGGACTGGAGAGATGGCCCAGCAGTTAAGAGCACTCACTGCTCTCTAAGAGAACAGGAGTTAAGTCCCCAGCACCCACATCAGGGCACCCACAACTGCCTGTTAACTCCAGTTCCAGGGGATGTGATGTCCTCTTCTGGCCTCCATGGGTACAAGTGGTGCACGTACACTTGTGCAGGCATACATACATATGCATAAATAAAAAAATTCATTTTAAGAATTATTAGGGTACAAATGGAAAATGACACTGGATTTTGAGAACACAGAGGAAATAGCAAATATAAAGGCTATCATTGAGTAGAAGCACAGGTCCAGAGCATCCACATATGCTGCATGAAGGTCTGCCATCTATCAACTATAAATCCCCACGTGATCACTGCTATGACCTCACCGGGAGTTCCAGGACCAGCTGATGAGAGCATGGCTCAGGCTAGCTTCAGAAACCAGCTAGCTCATGGTATTGATGCAAACTAAAAGTGGGTTACTTTCAGATCCTGACCCCTCTGGGAGGTATCCCCGAGACCAGTGAAGAGAAGTCATTTTGACAGAGCTTCGGGCTTGATCCAACCATCTGCTTTGTATAGAGAAGGAAGTGGCCTGGGTGGGGATGTGTGGAGACTCAGGGGTCGTGGTAGATGACTGCACTGATTGGTCCTAGGACCAGAGGAACACATTGGAGGATGGAGGAAGGAGGTTTATAGGGAAAATACCTGTAGGAGTGAGCACAATAGAGAGTGCTAGACATCACACATTAATCCTTGCCAGAGTGTACACTGCCCAAGAGGCACTCAGCAATCTGTAGGATGATGGCCTTTCTCCTCGGCGACTCCTTTAAAACTCAGGAAGGTCATAGCTACAGTGACAGAAATGGAGACAATGATACCCAATGATATTGGGGCATATAGAAAAGTTTGGAGTTGTAGCTAGAGAAACCCTATAACCCTATAAGAAGAACTTAGTGGGACACTCTAGCAGGAGTTTGGAAGAGCAGAATGCTGAGATAAACGCAGGTAGTGTAAGCCTGGCTCATGAGGTTTCAGACGGAAACAAGGACTCTATTGGGAGCTGGGCTAGGGGTGAATCATGTTACATTCTGTCAAAGAACCTGGGTGCACCCTGCCTGTGACCTAAGAACTTGAGTGAAACTGAATTCAAAAGCAATGGAGGAAGGAAATTTAAGACAGCATAGCATCAGACTGTGGCATGACCACCGGTCACAGCATTTGTCCATATTTTCAGGGACAGAGAGCAGCCAAATAGAACAGACAGATAAAAAAAATGTGCCATTTGGTGAGGAAAGGGGTATGAACAGGTTTAAAGGTACAGTCAAGGAGATCTCAGAGAAAGCAGACATAATTGTTTAAGAGAAACCCTCGGGCTACAGGACAATATGGAAGAGGACCCTAAGGACCAGACCCCATAGAAATTGCCCACCTTTGAAAATGCAGATTTATTTGAAAAGAAAAAGTGTGAAATGAGAGTGTTCTGAAGTGGCTTCCCATTTGAAAAAAAATGGCCTAAGGAGACATTTCCCAGATCAGTTTCCAAGGTGCTGTTGGCAACTTTAACTGTGGTAGAAGGGGGTTAGGCTAGTTATTGGGGCCGACAGGCTTGAACCAAGGTTGCAGACAGCTGCTAAGGCCAGGTAATATGTGTCAGGATTGGATTTTCTACAAAGAAACCCTGAGAGACCATTACATGAAGCTGTGAAAGTGAAGCCTGAGTTGCAGTGGAGACCCCAGCATGCTAGAGATGTCAGGACTGTGGGATGTCTGCCCAGGAAGGTTGCAGGCATGGAGTGTAACTGGCCTGAGAGAGGCTGTGTGTGATGCAGATTATTACAACTGGAGGGATGGGCTGTGCAAACCCATTAAAACCCAGATGCTGCTGCCAAGAGTCCCAGATGCTGGATAAGAAGCTGCAGGATTTGATGTTTTCTTTGCTGGGTTTCAGTCTTGCTTTAGGCTGATCCTTGCTTACTATGCCCCAATTCCTTCCTTTTGGAATGTGACTGTTTATTCTCTGCCATTGTATAGCAAAAGAATGGAACTTTTTAAAAAGTTTTATTTTTATTTTTATTTTACAGGATCTCATAGCTAAGATTGTTTTGTGTCTAAGAAGAGACTTGGGCTATTATTATTACTATTACTATTACTATTACTATTACTATTACTATTACTATTACTATTACTACTACTACTACTACTACTACTATTTAGAAAGGGTCTCACTATGTAACCCTGGCTGGCCTGAAACTTGCTATGAGACCACTGCTGGCCTGGAACTCACACAGATCTACCTACCTCTGCCTCCAAAGTACAGGGATTAAAGATGGACCACCACTCTAGGTCAACAGTATTGAAATTGTTAAGACTATAGGGACTCTGAAGTTGGAATTACTGCATTTTGCATTTTGAGATGGTCATGAGCCTACAGAAGGTAGGGGTGGGATATTGCTGGCTATATTATCAATGTGTTTGTGTGATGATATGGTTGGAATTGTGGTATTTAATCTTTGCTGTCAATCTA